TTAGCAGTAGTTCTATTGGGCACTAGTAGTCAGTTGGGAGTGGTTGCTATACCTTGGCTTCATTTATATGAATTGTCAATTTATTAAATAATAAAAAAGAAAATCCCAGTTATTGCAGTAGAGTGATAGGACGTTCTATGCTTACAGAAAATATAGCCATGATTGAAATCAAATAGTAAAGGCTGTTCTGGCTTTTATCTTCTTAGCTCATCTTAAATAAGTAGTACACTTGGATGCAGTGCGTCTGAAGTGCCAATCAGTTGTAACACAAATTGAACTTAGGATTTGTTTCTTCTCTTCTGTGTTTGGATTTTTGATCAATTCTTTAATTTTGGAAGCCTATAATACAGTTTTCTATGCTTGGAGAAAAAAATTAAATGGATCACTGATATTTTAGTCATTCTGCTTCTCATCTAAATATTTCCATATTCTGTATTAGGAGAAAATTACCCTCCCAGTACCAGCTCCCCTCTCAAACCCCCAACCCAAAACCAAGCATTTTGGAATAAGTCTCCTTAGTTTTAGAGTGTGGATTGTATAACCGATATAGTCTTTGACGTACTTATTTGGTTTGGTGTTAATTTGACTATATGTGCATGACAGCAGCAATCTTTGCTTTTCTTTGGTCAAAGTTTTCTGTTTATTTTGCTTGTCATTTTCGATGTACTTTAAAAAGGTGTCTTTATGAAGTTTGCTATTCTGGCAATAAACTTTTAGACTTTTGAAGTTTTTGTGTTTTAATTTAATATGTTTATAAGCATATGTAAACATTTAGGAGCATATTTTTATCATAGGTCTAAAAACATTTATTAAATACCTGTGAAGAAATACCATTAAAAAAACTATTTGGTTCTGAATTTTTATTAGAAGATGGTCTTTTGAAGTTAGTCCTTTCAGTACTTCTCAGATGCCTGTCATGTACCCAATGGAGTCCTTGGAAAGAAGGCCTATGTAAAGAGGCCAGCCTGGAGGTCAATACCGTGTTCTAGTTTATTCTGGACATTGAGTACCAAGTAGCATTGGCAAAAGTCACCATCATAGCATTGAAAAAACATGAAGTTGCTAAGATGCTTTTTGAGTATCCTCAAAATAGATAGTGTTTCAGTTTGTCCCATAAGAGGAAAGACTTGTCCTGGAACCCATGAAAATGATTTCTGAAGAGTTCTTGGCTTTCTGTTGAAAGACAAGAAAATATAAGCCTGTTCCTTTGGATCAAAGAGAAACTACTGAAATTCACACATTTGTCATTAGATTAACATGACTTCACCGAACACTACCATGTCTAGTATTGGCTTAGTTACTATGAAGATTGAGTAGAATTTACTTTTTTTTGAGACAGAGTCTTGCTCTGTCACCCAGGCTGCAGTGCAGTGGCGCTATCTCAGCTCACTCAAGCTCTGCCTCCCGGGTTCACGCCATTCTGCCTCAGTCTCCCAAGTAGCTGGGACTACAGGCACCCGCTACCATGCCTGGCTAATTTTTTATATTTTTAGTAGAGACAGGGTCTCACCCTGTTAGCCAGGATGATCTCGATCTCCTGACCTCGTAATTCGCCCACAGCCTCCCAGAGTGCTGGGATTACAGGCATGAGCACCGCGCCTGGCCTGAGTAGAATTTACAAGCCCCTTGACAAAGCATTTGCAATGTGGGTAGGGACAGAAACAGATAAAGCAATCAGTGGGACAACTTTCAAATGTCAGCAGTATATATTAATACAAATTTTATAGTACAGATAGGAAAACATGCTAATTGTATGGAACAAAAAAGATCATTAAGATTAGATAAATTATTGGGGGCTTTTGGTACTTAGAGTGAAAGTTAGCTCCATTCTCATTGCATGGGCCATTTTTCCTCCACAGCACTCTTCCTTATCTCACCTCTTCTTCCTCTTACTCCTTTTCCCCATTTGCAGGAGTTGAAACTAATTTTATGCATTAAATACTGAGTTCGTGTGCCATGCATTGTGCCAGAAGCCATGGAGTCTGTGCTAGAAATACATGGTGCAAAAATAGCCCTCATAACCCAAAAGGAAGAAGAAAAATGTGGTAAATGTTGTATTGAGAAAAATGAAGGAAATCCTTTATGCTAGAGCTGGGAGACTGTATTAGTCACCTCACCCTACCATAACAAGATGCCACAGACTGAGTGGCTTAAACGGAAGTTTATTTTCTCACAGTTCTGGAAGCTAAAAGTACATGATCAAGGTGCAGGCAGGGTTGGTTTCTAGTGAGACTTGGCTCATGGGTGGCTATCAGTCTTATCTGGTTAGAGTACCCCGTCCTCTATGACCTCATTTAATCTTAATTACCTCTTAGGGCCCTATCTCCTTATATAGTCACACTGTGGGTTAGTACTTAAACATATGCATTTTTGAGGGACCCAATCCAATCCATAACAGAGGCCAGGAGTCTGGACACCACTCCAGGAAAGTGATAATCAAAACAGGTCAGCAGCGTCAGTGTAGAGCAGTTCCTCGGGCTGAAACAGTAACTAGAGAGTAGAGTCAACTGACAAATCTTTCCTACTCCCTCCAGGCTTCTGCCAAAGTTGCCATGAAGCGCTGAGATGACATGGGGCTGTATCCTGAAGACAGGACATGTTTGATGTGGGCTAAGTTTTAATTTGGTTCACGTATACAAACAGGGAAATATACACTAGAACTTTTTTGTTGTTGTTGTTGTTGAGACAGAGTCTCGCTCTGCCGCTGGGGCTGGAGTGCAGTGGCCGGATCTCAGCTCACTGCAAGCTCTGCCTCCCGGGTTTACGCCATTCTCCTGCCTCAGCCTCCCGAGTAGCTGGGACTACAGGCGCCCGCCACCTCGCCCGGCTAGTTTTTTGTGTTTTTAGTAGAGACAGGGTTTCACTGTGTTAGCCAGGATGGTCTGGATCTCCTGACCTCGTGATCCGCCCGTCTCAGCCTCCCAAAGTGCTGGGATTACAGGCTTGAGCCACCGCGCCCGGCCTACACTAGAACTTTTTATCAGGAGTCATGTCACATCAGAAATAGTCTCACATTTTTCCAGACCAACTGGTTAACTATGGAAATGCAAATAAAAAGTAAGGATACCGGGCTGGGCGCAGTGGCTCAGGTCTGTAATCCCAGCACTTTGGCAGGCCGAGGCGGGCGGATCACAAGGTCAGGAGTTCAAGACCAGCCTGGCCAATATGATGAAACCCCGTCTCTACTAAAAATACAAAAATTAGCCAGGCGTGGTGGCATGTGTCTGTCGTCCCAGCTACTCATGAGGCTATGGCAGAAGAATTGCTTGAACCTGGGAAGTGGAGGTTGCAGTGAGCTGAGAGTGTGCCACTGCATTCCATCCTGGGTGACAGAGCCAGACTCCATCTCAAAAAAAAAAAAAAAAGGTAAGGATACCATAGGCAGAGTATGACTACATTAACTTCATACTCCCCTCTCTTACCAGCTTCTAGACACTTCTGTATTTTATGGTGCTGCCTATTTATAGTGTTATGACCATTTTTTTAAAGTGAGAACTGTGCTGTTTACCTTTAGAAATAATTGTTCACCAAAAAATTCCTCCACAGTTCCTTCACAGGTGTAAACAAAGTGCAAAAGGAAACCGAGGTTTGACACTCGGACTTGAAAAAATTTTAAAAAGTAATATAAAATTGGTTAGATTTTGGGAGTTAAAACCATTTGGGGAAACTACAAGGGCTAATTCCAGGTCTTGGGTAGGAAATATACAAAGTTAAGCTTGTGTTATCGAAGCAAGAAAGCATTCAAGGACTAATAGGGATATGTCAAAGACACAGATGGCTTAATGTGGCTTCCACTGGCCACATTTGGGACAATTTGAGCATCAACAAGAATTACGATGTTAAAGGAGTATATTATATTGAATTTAAAAAAACCCTTTAAATCAATAACTTTAAAAACACCTTGATTCCCATAGTGATGAAAACACTAAAATGGAGGTGTGGAAAGAAAGCCAGTTAACAAACACAGAAGGCATGATACTATTACAGAATCATTTATAACTCCTATTGTAACAACAGAGTCAGTGAAGGACTGTATAAAGCAGTTGGGGAACAGGGTATTCATATGGCCTCAAGGTATAATCTACAGATTGCTTACCAGTTCCTAAGGGGAAAATGGGGGAAAATGTACTATTAGAATGAAGAGATGTAGCCACCATCTTTACCAAGTGATCAAAGTTAGCATTACTAATATAATTGAGTTATGTGTCCCTGTGAGTTGGCAACACCTCTTAGGTAGTATTCTTGCTAAAGTGCTCGATCTGAATCTAATCATGAGGGAAACAAAATCTGACAAATCCAGAATGAGGGATATTCTACAAGACAACTGGCCTAGGCTCATCACAACATTTAATGATTTAATTTTAAAAAGAGGGTGAAGGAGGCTGATCTGGATTAAAAGAGACAATAACTAATAATAGCTTATGGGTTGAAAAAATAAAACTGCTATGGAAATAATTTTGGGGACAATGGGGAAATTTGAATATGAACTGTATAATAAATGATTTTATGGAATTACTAATTTTCTTAGGTTTGATCATGTATTGCGGTTACACAGGAAAATGTTCGTATTCTTGGAAGAAGCATGTTAACATATTTGGGGGTGAAGAATCTGCAACTTACTTTCAAAGAATTTAGTAAAAATCATTGGGTGGGGCTGTGAATGTGGAGAGAACAGATGGAGAGAAATCAAACGTGGCAAAATGCTAACAACGAGCTGAAGGACAGCTAAACGAAAGCTCACTGTACTATTTTTAAAACTTTTCTGTAGCTATAAACCGTTTTTTCTGAGAAAGTCGAGGAGCGTGAACGTCTTTCAAGAAAGGCCAGCGCAACTGCACCCAAAAGCTGAGAGGAGATTGGAAAACGCCTCTCAAAATAACAGTCCCGCCCTTCCCGGGGCGCTTCCCTACAGGCTGTTCCAGTCACGTGGTGGCTGTGGCCCCGCCCACAGCTCCCAGAGGCCCGCGCGCGCCGTCTGCAGTTCGGCCGCTTCCTCTTGGCGGGTGGGCTGCAGCCATGGAAGGCGAGCCTCCACCTGTGGAGGAGCGGCGGCGGCTGCAGGAGGAGCTGAGCGAGTTCGTGGAGAGCTGCTGCCGGACGCTGGAGGAGGTGACGGCGTCCCTGGGCTGGGACCTGGATAGTCTGGATCCCGGGGAAGAGGAGGCGGCGGAGGTGAGGGGCGCGGCCGCGGGGCCCTTTCGGGGACTATCGGCCCGCGGTCTTCTCTGGAAGAAGGGAGATCCGCACTGGCAGCCGCGGAGGAAGGGCGAGGAATCGTCGTCCGTGTGCAGAGCCGCGATGGGCGCCCGGGACCCGAGGGGAGCCGCGGGCCCTGGAGCAACCCTGACCTCCCTGAGTCCTGGGCTCGGGCGCGCGAGGGCCTCCCGAAGGCTCCACGCCGACCTCCGGTGCGGCGCTCCTCCCGCGGAACTTCGAGCTTAAAGAAAACGGGGGGCCGGGCGCGGTGGCTTACACCTGTAATCCCAGCACTTTGAGAGGCCAAGGCGGGAGGATCCCTTGAGCCCAGGAGTTCGAGACTAGCCTGGGCAATATGGGGAAACCTCTTCCTACCAAAAATACAAAAATTAGCCGAGTGTGATGGTGTGAGCCTGTGGCCCCAGCTGTTTGGGAGGCTGGAGTGGGAGGATCGCTTGAGCCCAGGAGGTCGAGGTTGCGGTGAGCCGAGATCGCTCCGCTGCATTCCAGCCTGGGCGATAGAGCAAGACCCTGTCTCAAAACACAAACAAACAAAATTCCGGAAGATGTGTTGAGTGAGGAGGGAATGGCAGATTTGGTATTTATTTAGAAAGTAAGTGAATGGGTCTCAGAGTGCTGCAGAGGGATTGGCGGTTTGCATTGTCATCTGTCATATGGATTCCGCAGTTGCACCAGATTCGGTGTCAGGAGAGCTGGGAGTTTGCCAGTTCGCCTTTCTATGCCTTAAAATTGGACACTTCTTACTGGGACAGCCCCGATTCTAGGATTATTAAAGGATGTCACCAAGAAATGGTAACTGGCAACTCCCGTGGACATTAGCATTGCTTTTTTTAAAATGTAGGCAAGTGTATTTAGAGTGAACAATGGTGATTTTTGTTTTTTGTGGGGTGTTTTTTGGTGGAGTGAGAGGAAGGGAAGTGCTCCAATGTGGGGTAATTCATTATCTTTAATATTACTTCTGGGTTTACCACGCTGTAATAATTTCTCCTGGGTTTAAGTTACTGATTCCTGAGATATTTAAAATATATTTGATTTCTGCATATACCATTCATTATTTATTGTATTAAAAGCACAGAAGAAATTAAAGGATCTTTATTGTTCATTTAGAGGGGTATTTGAAGCTGGGAATTCCATTGAGTGGGACTTACCAGACCTTTCCATACATTGTTTACTCAGCATTGGAGTAACATTGGATTCCTTGTATTAACATTTAAATAGCACTTTGTTTGTGCCACTTAAAATACATTGCTTCATTTAATACTCAGAATAACCCTGTGAGGTAGGTATTGTTGACCACATTTCATAGACAAGGAAAGGGACACAGAGGTAATAATTTGTCCAAGGATACACTGCTAGTAAATGGCAATTAGGATTTCCACCGGTGTTTTAGTACTAAAATTTAGTGAACAACAGTTACAGTTCCTGGTCCTCACAGAGCTTATTGTCTGGTGGTGGTGAGGGGGAATACGGAGAACTCAACTGTTATATTATCATGGATCTATGATGGGTGGGGTTGGAATTGCTATAGTACAGTTTATTATAGGCTGTGGTGGACAAAGTGGTGGTCAACAAAGGCTTCCTGGACAAAGTGAATTCTAAGCTGGTAAATAAAAGTGATCTGAATTAACTAGGGGATTGGGGAGTGAGAAGAAGCATCAACAGCATGTGTAGAAGTTCAGAGACAGGGAGTAACCATATCAGGAAGCAAGTAGTTAAGGATAGCTAGAGCATAGGGTGTAGAGTTACCGCAGAACGATGCTGGGGGGTAGAGGTCAGATCTTAAATGTCCTTGTTAGCCATATTAGAAAGTCTAGATTTTTTTTTTTTTTTAAATGAAGGCAGTGGGGAGGCATGGAAGTATTTTAAGCTGGGGCATATCATAATCATATTTACCTTTTAGTAAAATAATAACATACATTTATTGAATGCTTGCTATGTACCAGGCCCTATTTGAATTCCTTTATGTGTATAAACTTTGGTATACTTTTTTAAATCTTCACAATCACTTTTTGAGAGAGGTCCTGCTATTATTTTCATTTTATATAATAGATAAGGAAAATGAGACAAAGAGAGATTAAGTACCTCACCCAAATTCATGCAGCCAGTAAGTGGCAGAGCTGGAATTCAGACCAGCTACAGGATGGAAAATGAAGGGGAGGGCAGCAAGACTGGAAACAGAGAGAGAAAGCGAGCGTAGTCAGGAGATGGCTGTTGTATTCCAGCAGAGAGTTGATGATCCCTGAATTGGGGAAGTGGCAGTGGGGATGGAGGATGTTGAGGGATTTTCAGAAATATTCAGGAGTTAAATTGGCAGGGCTAGGTGATTGATTGGATATGGGTGATGAGGGAGAAGACGTGGTTTCTTGCTTGAGCAAGTGGGACCTTTCACTGAAATGGAAAGTACAAGAGGAGTAGGTTTGAGGGTTAGGAGACGATGAGTAGAATGAATTTATTTTTGTTTGTGTTGAACTTTTAGTGTCTTTAGTATATGGTACTGGACAGAAACAAGGTTTAAAGATATAAATTTTGGGAGTCCTCACTGTATAGTGAGAGTTGCAGCCTTGAGATCTTTCTTTCAGTAAGCAGATACTAAATAGCAAAAGGTCAGTGGTTATATTAATTTATGAAAACCAACATCTAAAGGGGGACAAATAGAGCAAGGTAGACAGATATTTAGAGGAGACCAAATAGAAGAAGCCAGAGAGGTAGAAAGAACATGAGGGGTGTGTCTGAATGACAAATGAACAATTGGAGTGCGACCTTCCAAGAGTTCAGATATGACAAGACAGTGACATGTTCTTTGGCTTTAGTAGCAAGGTTGTTAGTGACCTATTGACTGGTTTCAGTGGGGTGATGGTGGCAGTGAGTGAGGAATGGTTATAGATGAGGTTGTTTAGACAGTGAGTGTAAATACACATTTCAAAGAGTTAGGCTTTGAAGGAGTGGACAGAGGACAGGGGCATTTAGAGAGTTAGGGGTTGAAGGAGTTTTGTTTTTCTTTAATACACACCCACATGGGGGTTGAGAGAGGCCTGTAAAAGAGGATGCACTAGACAGTACTGGTACATAATTAAATGGTAAACATTTAATGGTAATAATTATTTATTTTAATATTATGTACCGATTTTCTTTGTTTCTGTTTGATTTTTATAGGATGAAGTTGTGTTATGTCCTTACGATTCCAATCACCACATGCCTAAATCGTCTTTAGCAAAGCACATGGCATCTTGTAGATTGAGGAAAATGGGCTATACCAAAGAAGAAGAGGTACCATATATTTATTATTTTATAGTAAAATATATATGTATATGTCATGCATTTCATGCCTTAATTCACAATTTTTGGAAGTTATATTGTGAGGCTCACCAACATGAAATAATAGCCCTTACTTGAAGGGTAGGATGGTACTTGCCTAATTTCACAAATTATTGTGAGAAATAATTAAGTGATACTAATCTATTGTTTATGTCAAGTCTTAAAATAGTCAATTATCTGATACTTAAGAACACTAAGATTTTTTTTTTTCAGGATGAAATGTATAATCCTGAGTTTTTCTATGAGAATGTGAAGATACCTTCAATTACTTTGAGTAAGTATTAAGTTATTATAATTTTAAAATATCTTAGTGTAGATACTGATTTTTCATTTTTGCATTATCGAAAGAATGGATTTTATAAGCATGCTTACGATTAAGAAGGACATTTAGTATCTTAAAAGCATGTAGAATTAATTAATGTACAAGGCAACTAATTCACATAATCTGAAGTTTAGAGACCAGGCTTGTATTTTTTTTTTTTTTTTTTTTGAGACGGAGTCTTGCTTTGTCACCCAGGCTAGAGTGCAGTGGCCGGATCTCAGCTCACTGCAAGCTCCGCCTCCCAGGTTCACGCCATTCTCCTGGCTCAGCCTCCCGCGTAGCTGGGACTACAGGCGCCTGCCACCTCGCCCGGCTAGTTTTTTTTTGTATGTTTTTGTAGAGACGGCGTTTCACCATGTTAGCCAGGATGGTCTCGATCTCCTGACCTCGTGATCCGCCCGTCTCGGCCTCCCAAAGTGCTGGGATTACAGGCTTGAGCCACCGCGCCCGGCCTGACCAGGCTTGTATTAATAGGCAGTGAAAACCTTACAAAGCTTTGTGTAGTAGATCAGACACCTTCCTTCTCAGTTACAACAAAAATTTGAGCCTGTGACATAGATTGAAGGATGAGACTGAAGATGGACATGTGTTCCAGGGATTCACAGCATATATAGAGGTTAAAGTCTTGGGCTCTTGAAAGAGAATGTCCTGATTCAACTCCTGTTTTTATCATGAACAGATGTGACTTTCAGCGAGGTAATTAACCTGTTTGTTGCCTAAATTTCTTTATAAAATGGAGATGGTTATAATAGCACTTTGCGAGGATTAAGTGATATATATATAATATTCTTAGAATAATGTCAGGCACTTAGCTGGAGTCAGCTAAAGGGTCACAGAGTTGTGACCATTACAGCACAGGCTTCGAGAATGTTAGCTGTTATTGGTCAGTAAAATTTGTCGCTGCTACTGCTGCATGCCTAATTATAGGCATGAACTGCTTGAAGTCTGATTACTTACTGGGCTGTAGATAAATCTGAAAGGATTCTGTGTTCAGATTTCATAGACAGGGATGTGGATATTTCTTAAGATTCTGGAAGGTTTGTCCACGTGCCCAAAGGGCTTGGATCAGAAACCAGTTAATCATTTAATTATGGTCACTGATGATTCATATTGTATTTATGGATTTTTTTTTTTTGACAGATAAGGACTCACAATTCCAGATAATTAAACAAGCTAGAACTGCAGTTGGGAAAGACAGTGATTGTTATAATCAAAGTAAGTGGCATTACAGTTTAAGTGAATTAATGAATCAAATTATTATTTTTCTCATAAACATGTTACTAATTTCAAGAAAAACCTGTGAAAACTGTTACATGGGAAAGGTTAAGTTTTACATTTAGCATTAGGCTAATTTGCTTCATTTCACCATCATTTGTTAGATGTTTCCTGTTGAGATACACTAGAGTCTCACTAGGACACTGTCTTAGCTAGGGGTTCATCCTTTGGAATAACCTGGTGATTTATAGGTGAGATTGTCTTGTGGCTAATACAAAAAACTGTTATTTAGTAAATACAGATGGTCCCAACTTAATGATGATTTGATTTAGGATTTTTTCAATTTTATGATGGTATGAAAACAATGCACAATCACAAGGTTTTAGACTTTAAGTACTAGTGATTCTTTTATCAGACTCTGGGCTGCATTTTCAACTTAACCGTATAAAGTTTATGATGGGTTTATCGGGATGTAACCCCATGTAAGTCAAGGAACATCTATAAATGCCACTGAGTGAGACTCTTTTACCCTGAGATTTCCTCTCTTTAGAGTATTGAAATGCAATGTAAAGAAAAGGCTTAGGCTGAAAGAGATTAGTCTCCACAGGTACCCTCAGATTGCTACACAGTAAGTGAGTTGGTTTGAAGTGATGAATGCTTGGGATCCCCTTCTCAGAAAAAAAGTACAAACACAAAAGTTTTACATATAATTTCAGAGGATTCATATTAATAGATCCTTTCATGCCCACCTTTAGAGCTGGGTTAAAGAGTTCTCCCTGGGAACTTCAGCAGAGAATAGGTTAGAAGTTTTAAGCATAAGCTTTTAGGAAACTGAAAGAAAACTTAATCCATCAAAAACAGAGACATAGGCCAGACACGGTGGCTCACGCCTGTCATCCCAGCACTTTGGGAGGCTGAGGCGGGTGGATCACCTGAGGTCAGGAGTTGAAGACCACCCTGGCCAACATGGCGAAACACTAAAAAATACAAAAATTAGCTGGGCATGGTGGCAAGTGCCTGTAATCCCAGCTACCTGAGAGACCGAGGCAGGAAGAATTGCTGGAACCCAGGAGGCGGAGGTTTCAGTGAGCCCAGATCGCACCATTGCACTCCAGCGTGGGCAACAGAGCGAAACTCCATCTCAAAAACAAACCAACAAACAAACACATAGACAAATGAGTTAATAAAAGTTTAAATTTCTCATGAATGTAGATATGATATGACATCTAGCCAAAACCTGAGTGGCTTCTCTTATAAGGATTTCTATTTCTGCATTGTCTTCTTTGAACCTTCTGTAGGTAGCTTTCTCTGCACAACTTACCTTTTTTTCCTCATTCTTTTTTCTAGCTGAATTATATTTACCAGGCTGTAGTCATGGTTGGTTTTCTCCCTCATTGAAGTTGAGGATCTTTACCAAATATTGTTTTAAGTCAGTATCTGGACTTGATTTCTCAGAGTTGCACTGTGGCTACAGAAGGAAGACCATCCTTAGCTGTCTATATTACATGGGTTCTCTATAACAGCCAGAAGCACATTTCTTGTATTTTTTGTTTTGAGGTTCCCACTTTTGTCCCTGTCAGCGAAATTCCAGATTTTTTTCTTTGAGGGAGACAGTAGACTCTCATTTTATTTATTCGGACAGATTACTGAGCTGTGACTAGACTGGTCAAGCCTTTTTTGGCCTCTGCTATTGGTTCTACTCATATCCCCTGGTTGTGTACCCATAAAAAAGTTGGAGGTTTTTGGTTTTTGAAGAGGTTAATAATACTTAAAGGACTTTGTTTGACTCTTAAGTGGTTAGATTTACTGAATTTATTTTAGAGTTGAAAGAGAACTTGGAGATCATCTAATACAGTGTCTGCATTTTACAGATAAGAAAAACTATCTGATGGAGACATGATAAAGTTCTAGTGTGTTGGTTCTAAAAGTCCTCCATATTTTTATTTTTTAAAAGGTTATTTTTTTAAAGCTCTTTTATGAATTACATTTCTCTTTCACAACAAACTTGTGATAAACTGAATGATATTTTCCCCTCCATGATAGGTGAAGAAACAGACACAAAAAAGTGAAGTAACTCGCCTTTGCTAGATAATAGCAAAGTGGATCCAGAACTAAGTTCTGAATTTTGACACAAACTCTGAACTGAGTTGATTTTCTGTTAGATACCCTACATTTAGTAAAATTTGTGGACTAGGATTCTAGATATTGCTCAAATTTATTTATCATGTCTTTCATGATTAAGTGGAAGAATATCACAAACTTCGTATCTCTACATACTAATTGTGACTATTGGTGCTGTTAATTGTTAATTCTGCTTTGCGTAAACCTGTTTTAGAGAAATAAAAGTAGCTGCTTGGCCATGTATTAATGATGACAACTCTGAGTTTTTGTTTCTTTATCTGTAATATAAAACTCTATTTATAGAGTTGTTGAGAGGAACAGAGATAATGGATGCTAAACAAGCCCTGGCTCCAAAAATTGGTAGCTTCTATGGTCTAAGTGGAAATTAATGTACAGAAAGTAATATTAAGATAATGAAATGGATGAGTTTTATATATATAAGTAATTTAGAAAATGTTCTGCTTTTTAATTTTTATAACGGTAATAAGGGAGATTTGGACATGGAGCTTAGTTCTTTTCAAAAGCAAATAATTACTTCGAATGAATAGTTCTTTTGCTAGGTAAGAGGAACTTTGATTTTGAATTCTTACACTATCTTAAATTAAGATATAATTGTTACCAGTAACTTTTTTTTCTTTTTTTTTTGAGGCTGTCTTGCTCTGCCATCCAGGCTGGAGTTTAGTAGCACAATCTCGGCTCACTGCTAGCTCGGCCTCCTGGGTTCACGCCATTCTCCTGCCTCAGGCTACCGAGTAGCAGGGACTGCAGGCACCTGCCACCATACCGGGCTAATTTTTTTGTATTTTTTTAGTAGAGATGGAGTTTCACCATGTTAGCCAGGATGGTCTCGATTTCCTGACCTCGTGATCCACCCACCTCGGCCTCCCAAAGTGTTGGGATTACAGGCGTGAGCTACTGTGCCTGGCCAACAGTAACTTTTTATATGATCTTTAACCTTGTTTAAAAATTTTTTTTTGGCTGTGCATGGTGGCGCATGCCTGTAATCCCAGCACTTTGGGAGGCCGAGGTAGGCAGATCACCTGAGGTCAGGAGTTTGAGACCAGCCTGGCCAACATGGTGAAACCCTGTCTCTACTAAAAATACAAAAATTAGCCAGACGCTATGGTGCATGCCTGTAATCCAGCTACTCAGGAGGCTGAGGCAGGAGAATCGCTTGAACCTGGGAGGCGGAGGTTGCAGTGAGCCAAGATGGCGCCACTGCAGTCTAGTCTGGGCGACAGAGTGAGACTCTGTCTCAAAAAAAAAAAAAATTTTGTTTTATGTCCTCTGTAGAGAGTTATGCAATTTCTGAACAGATTATTTTTGTGGCTCATTTATGTCTTAGACATTTTAAGATCTTTTCCCTCAGGACAAGACTTTCTTTAAATATCTTATTGATGTATTTACTTCGAAGGGAGAATGACTCACATGAAAAATTTTACATTTCTCCATCTAATTCATATTTTGTTTGTTACACACTGAAATGTAAGTTTTTTGACAAGGTTTTATATGCATGTTTTCATTTCATCTGTCATGTCAGGCCTAAACTCAGTGTACAGAATTCTCAATCTTAAACTTTATGAAAGCTCGAACAGCTATTAGATGTACATACTTATTTTCAGATATAGTTACTTCGGCTAATTTTTTAACCAAGATATTTCAATCATAAACAATCAGTTTATGTTTAGTGGTTTATCTTTTTCCTTCAATATTAAATATTCAAGTTGTATATTTCAGTATCGTGAAGTGTGTTTGAGTCATGGCCATGATCAGTGTGCTATCAAAGATACTTTAAAAGACAGGATAGAATGGCTTTAGATCCAGTCTGTTCCTATCACTTGTGAGACTTTGGGCAAGTCATGTTACTTCTATGACCCTTAATTTCTTTATCTGTAATGTTAGGGAATTGACTCTGAATGAATTCTCCCTAAAATTCTGAATTTGTATCTTTGTGACAACACCTGCTACTACTATTTAATGTTGTATGTTATATGTTTAAGATCCCCTTTGATAACAAAAGTAACTAACAAGAATTAGAATTGGCATTATTAAAACAATAGATTAGAGTTTCAGTTTGGGGTGATGAAAAAATTCTAGAGATGGATAGAGGTTGCACAACAATGTGAATGCACTTCATGTCTCTGAACAGTACGCTGAAAATATAGTTAGAATGTTAAATTTTATGTTATATATTTTGCCACAAAAAACCTGCAAAAACAGGCAGCCAAAGGGTCTTAGAGTTATTATAATTACAGCGCATTCATATGTACCTTTAAATCATTTAGAAACATGCATTTTGAAAATTTACATTTTATGTAAATGTAAGTTTATTTAAGTATGTTTATCCTTTTTGTTGTCAGAAATATCTATGTTCCAAATGAATTGAATGCAGTTTGTTGCTTAACCTTTCCTGTACTTTTTCTTTTTCAGTAATTGGGGTGAGTATAAAGAGGAATTAGGAACCTGAATGTACTCCTTATTTAAAGATATGCAGTATCCTTTTTGCAAATGATATCCTTTTAAAAGTATCACTCAAATTTCTAAACTTTATCTTAATACCTGTCACATATTATAGTCTTGAATTGGAATTTTGGTTGAATTACAAGGAATTTAAGTGTCAGTCTTCATCATAAACTTAAGATGAATAAATTGAAGAAAATGCTAAAATAATTTAAGAAGGAAATTATATTTCTTTGTTTAAAAATAACAGGCAAAGGTTTATATGGAGCTTGTTTGTAATACATCATTACTTTCTAATCTTTGTTTTTCTCCCAAATTTTTATAGCCTATATTCAAAGGAATTAGGCTTATCAAAGCTGTTTTTATAATTTTGTATTATAAAATGCTTACTATAATTAGAATAAAATTGATTGACTTGAAAGGGAACCCTTTTTTTTCCATTAATTCAAAACCCTTTGACTAGTAAAAATGGCCATGTATTGTTATGTAAAGCCGTGTTAAACCATGGCCTCAGATTGACTGCAGCTCTCCTCTTAATATGTAGACAAGTAGTACCTCTTTTTGTTGTAATGCTTAGTTCATAGTATGCTCTCATTTGAATTCTTTTTGCCTCTACCTAGGAACTTAATGAGGTTAGACTTTATCAAATATAAGTATCTGGAAAGAGCTACTGATTTTATGTTCTATGAACCAGTTACTACTTTAGAATAAGTTAGCAAACAATAAAAGGATTCCTTTAGTAGCTCATGTTCTTTGTTTGCATTAGTGAATAATGAAGTCTAGAAAGAATTGTTTTAAATTGCTTTTTTTACAGTTCCAATCATTTTTTTATTTGAGAAAATTTGAATCTCAAAACAAAAATTTTCTTCAATGTTTAATACATCACATCAAGGTATTGTATTTACTTTTTTTCACTAATGAGCAGATTTTAGAAAATTCTGTAATTACTGGGGGGCACTGCTATTAACTTTTTTCAGGTAATTTGGTTAAGCCACTATGCTTCCTCCTCAGGAAATTAAAATGAGTTTAGTTTCAATTTAATCTGTTCTTTTCTGGCCTGACGAGGTGTGGGATTTCTGCTACTTAATTATTTTTTGGCCCCTAGCTCTAAGTCCTTGCACAAGTGGGATATATTTTAAATATTGACCATCTAGCTTGATGTCTCATACAAAAGATATTTTTTACACAGTTTTTAATATTTCCATAGTTTATTTTCAAAGGGACTATAATGCATATTACTTATTAAAAGCATTTTCTTCCCAACTTTGATGGGGAAAAGCCTATCAACAGATACCTACTTTTGTAGATGGCTATAAAAATTGTTACCCAAAAGGTTTTCTTAGAGCAAATTGTCTTTTATGATTATTCCTGCCTGCCTTCTTGGGATCTGTCTTTATATTGTTGGAGAGAATAGCAAACATCCATAATACGTTGTATTTTTTTTGTGGATATAACATTCAGGATAGAATTGTTGTTTGTCATTTATTGCTTAGATTGATATTTTGTATATTTAGAGATTATGAAAAAGAGTTTGTGTTAATATTGCATTATTAAAGCACATGTTTGAAGATAATTAGTAGATTTTAAGTTCACAGTGCTTCATGTATTGTTTATTCTTGTGATTTTATTTTCACTTTAGGGATTTATTCTTCTTTGCCTGTTGAAGTTCCTCTGAATCACAAACGGTTTGTTTGTGATCTAACTCAAGCTGATCGTCTTGCCCTCTATGATTTCGTAGTTGAGGAGACAAAGAAAAAGCGCTCTGATTCTCAGATTATTGAAAATGACAGCGATCTCTTTGTAGACTTGGCTGCCAAAATCAATCAAGGTTTGAGATGCACATCATAGCTTTACTTTTTTTCATTATCATTTTATTCTGTGAGTGTTATTAAGATGATTTAATTGTCGGGCCACTTTGAGTTAGAGTAAAATGGTTTTATATCATTTAATATTGAAGTGAAGTTGGCCCTCTGTAACTGTGGGTTCCACATCCATCAATTTGACCAACTGTGGATTGAAAATATTTGGAAAAAATAAAAATGAGTGGTTGCCCCTGTACTATACATGTAGAGACTTTTTATTGTCATAATTCCATAAACAATATATTAACAACTATTCATACAGCATTTACTTCGTATCAGGTTTTTGGTGTTTTTTTTGTTTTTGTTTTTTTGTTTGTTTGTTTGTTTGAGACAGAGTCTTACTCTGTCGCCCAGGCTGGAGTGCCATAGCGCTATCTCTGTTTGTTGCAATCTCTGCCTCCCAAGCTCAAGCGATTCTTGTGCCTCAGCCTCCTGAGTAGCTGAGATTACAGACGTGTGCCACCATGCCTGGCTAATTTTTGTATTTTTAGTAGAGATGAGGTTTTGCTACGTTGGTCAGGCTAGTCTCAAACCCCTGGCTTCAAGTGATCCTCCTGTCTTGGCCTCCCAAAGTGCTGGGATTACAGGCTTGAGCCACTGTACCTGTCCTGTATTAGGTATTGAAAGTAGTTTAGAGATGACTTCAAGTGTACAGGCGGGTGTGTGTAGGTTATATATAAATACTGCACCATTTTATATCAGAGACTTGAGCATCCATGGATTTTGGTATCCTTGGGGGTTCCTGAACAAATCCTCCACGGATACTGAGGGATATTTACTCAGTACCTGAGGTTTTACTCTGACTTTTACATTAAATGTACCTTCTTTCTGTAAGAATATTACAACTGTGCTGTTACTTTAATCCATGTACCTAAGCACTCTTATGTTCAACTAATGGCTGGAGAAAAGGAATGATATAAAACTTAGCCCGTGTATATAAATAATATACAATTTTTAGAATGTTTTTATGTGCTACTTTGAAACGAGTTAAAAAATATAGGATTGTGATGTGTTTATTTGATAATTGATAGAATTTAAAAGGTTTGAAGGATATAATAATTTTATTTTATCCTTTCATTAGATAATAGTCGAAAAAGTCCAAAATCCTACCTTGAAATCCTAGCAGAAGTAAGAGATTATAAAAGAAGACGCCAGTCCTATAGAGCTAAGAATGTTCACATAACCAAGAAATCATATACTGAGGTAAGTTTTACATAATCTTTGTTGATAACAAAAATTTTCTTTTGGTAATTTTCTAAATCTGTTCTATGAATTTCCACAATTTTTTGGAAATTTTCTGAAAGTGTCTTCAGGGTGGCCACACCTGATTTGTATCTGTTCCATCAGTTCTAGACCCACCCTTTAGCAAGCAAAGGCTTTCATAGTACAAGAACCTTATATAAAACAATTGTACAATCTTAAAAGGTATCTCCTTGTGAGAAAATAGTAGTGTATCATGGTAAGAGCATGAGTTTGGGCTTTAGGTAGACCTCACCTTGAGTTTTGATTCTGCTATTTCTCATTGGCTCTTTGACTTGAGCAAGTTGTTGAGATTTTTAGATTGAATGTTTTCTTTTCGTAATAAGAATATAATCTTTGCAGGGTTGTTATGAGAATTGACTGACAATGCATGCAAACACAAATTTCTTCATGGATATTAGCTATTATCTTTTTTGGCAGAAAGCATGTTTTTATGTACTCTAGTAAATATTTGGGCTTAAGAAATGTGTTGATATACATTATTTATACATTAGTCTCTTAGTGTATATCTAGACTTATTTTCAGATGCCATTTAATGGCTCATTAGCGTTGATGAATTTTTTTGGTGTATGAATTACCTTGCCCAGACTCTACAAATAATTTCCTCATCAATTCCCTAATTGTTCCCATATTTTTTCTTACTTCTCTCTGATGTAAAAGACCTTCCATAATTTGGCCTCCTTTTCCCAAGCATTTTCTTTTGCTTTAGTCAAGCATGTCTCTTAAACTGTATCTGATTGCATATAATTACTCTTACCTCCATGCCCTATTACCTGATATTTTCTTACCTGAAATGCTCTGTTTTTGCCATTTTAAATGTTGTTGAGTTTAAAGGCCACCATTTCCATGAGGTGCTAGTTGACTAATCTATCACTAGTTTATTGTACTTATACTTTGTACCACACAGCTTAACTCTAAATTTTATGCTGTTCTTTTTTACAATTAAAGTCTGTGTTTTAGACTTACCTTCCCAAGTAGAGGCCTGGGTCCCTGTCATACTACCTTGGTGATTCTTACAGTCCCTAAGATACTTGGCTCATCAGTTGTTTATTCTCTGGACTCATAACCCTTGTAATCAAGCTTAAATTGTTGCTGCTAGCATTCTTCATGATTTTATAGTTTATATTTTATTGTGGAAATATTCAAACATACTAAAGTGGATAGCGTCGTCTAAGGAACCCTTATGTACCCATCACCCAGCTTCAAAAATTGAAATATAAGATTGGCAAGGGCTTCATAGAGAATGTAGCATTTGAGCAAAAGGGAGAAGCAAGGAGGAGTAAAGGAATGTCTGCTTATTGACTCTTTCGTATGTGGTGGACCTGAGCTGGGTGGGTTCTGTGCAAATAGCAGACTTCAAGGCACTTATGTAGAGCTGCTGACAGGGAGGCTTGTAGGCCTGCTAGGGAAGTGCAAGAGCTGGAACTGGAGATAGGTGTGTGTGACTCATGTCACTCCGCTAGGTTTGACCTTGGTGTATCTTAGGTTTTCCATGGGAGAATATAGTGGAGGAGGAGAAGTGGTGGATAAGGATTTTCTGGGTAGAAAAACTAGCATTCTGAAAAGCAGATAAAAGTTTAGGAGTTTTTCAGAAACTCATTAGTAACCCAGGGTGGCTAGAGCTTAGGGCTTCATTGAGAGATGAGGCTAGGTTGTATCTGATGTAGTAAAATCCTGGAGGGCTTTGAAGGCTTCATTAAGGAGTTTGGATATTGTTCCATTTTACTTTGAGAGCCATTGAAAGTTTCTTTAAGGTAAGGAGAAATGCAGTCAGGCCTGAATGATAGTGTTTCTGAGATTGCCTCTTGTCCCCTATACCTTTTTTCTGGAAACATTTTCTGTTTAATCATGAGGGAAGTGTAAGCTCCTATTTTAGTTTTGTCTTTGCTTCTGCAGTGACTAACCCTGTGCTTGGTGGCATGGGTAAATAGGAAAGTTTCCTTGTAGAGTCATTCAGAAAGTATCTGTGAAGTGGCTGTATGTTTCATATTTTGTCTTAAGTCATATGATTAAGTCCAGATGACTTAATTATAAGGTTTTTAGAAAATCATTTGTAAATAATCTCTAACAGAGAGATAAATTGCAAAACTAAAAATAGTACCAAGAACTCCCATATTGCCTTTACCCAGGTTACCCATTGTTAGCATTTTGCCACGTAGCTTATCATTGGCACTCTCTCTTTCTCTGTCTCGATCTGTACATATTGTTTTCCCCTGAATTCTTTAAGGGTTAAATTACATACATCATAACCCTTTATCCCCGGTGTGTATTTCGTAAGAACAGAGATATTTTCTCACATAAAGGTAGTACAGTTTTAGCAACTTCAAATTTAATATTGCTATAAAACTTTTATCTGCTATTCATATTCCAGTTTGACCATTGCCTTTTCTGTGTTCTCTAAACTACACAAGTCCCACAGTCTATTATGTCATAGCGCTTAGTAAATATTTGATTTTTAGCACTGATTTTTCTAGCGCTATAGTCTTAATTTTTTGAGCAGTTTCCTTACCTGAAGTTCGGTGCTTACCTCTCCCAAGGTGATTCGAGATGTGATAAATGTGCACATGGAAGAACTCAGCAATCACTGGCAAGAAGAACAAGAGAAGGCAGAGGATGATGCTGAAAAGTACGTCGTTATCTTTATTGGTGAAAATACTCTCTTTGATAACAGATAACAATTAACTTATAATTGTTAAATTTTAGCATCTCCAAAACCCTTGATAGCACATAATATCCTCATGAAAATGCTTTTTGTTTTTTGTTATCGGTGCCCAGAGTTATTATACCAGAGTTGTTCTGACATTACCCTTTGACAGTTTTCAGGGGACAACCATATTAGTGAAATATTTAAATAGCAAAACATACTAATATTTATGCCTAGTGTTCCATTATTGGAACACCAAACCTGTGGGAATTATTTATATCCTACTGCCCACCAAGGTCTCATTGCAAAAATTTTAAAAATTGCAACCTCAGGCATAAAAGGGTTACGAGCTCTGTTTATTTGTTGTCTTATATGGGTTATAGGATTGTGCGTATTGAGACCATATCTACCATTGGTTTGATATAGAATATTACACTTTAGACTGGTGTGTCTGTGTATGTATACTGGAGACCAGTGGTAAAACAAACTGATTAACATTCTTTTCTATGTTTTAGGAATGAAGAAAGGCGATCAGCTTCAGTAGATTCACGGCAGTCTGGTGGAAGCTATTTGGACACTGAGTGTTCACGACATAGAAGGGACCGGAGTAGAAGCCCACATAAAAGAAAAAGAAATAAAGATAAGGATAAAAACTGTGAGTCGAGAAGAAGGAAAGAGAGGTGGGTCTAACCCTGCATCATCCAACATTGAATTCTCTACTTTTTAAAAGTAGGACAGGTTCTTCTGTTGTAAACCATGCTGAGAAAATAGATTTTAAGAATAAGCTAAAGTAAGGAGAGTAAACAATTGATTATGATTCTTAACATTCATTATAGTTCAGTTCAAATAGCCACCACTCTAGTGACATAGTTCTCTACATGTGTGATTGGATATTTTTTTCCCTTTTTTATCTCTTGCTTGCTTGCTTCCTAAACAGGACATATGAAAGTATTGTCTAGGCAGGATGTTAACTGTATTAAACACGTGCTTTCCTAGATCCCTTTCTTTTGCTCCTTCCTTCCTTCCTCTTTCTCTTATTCTTTCTTTCTTTTTCCTGCTAATTCCTCAAATAAGGGTATATTGACATTGTCAAAATTGACAGTCAATTTTGCCCTTGTTAGTAAAATTTTTATAGCTCGAGAGATATGAATTAACACCGAATTAATAAATGTAAATCATTTGCGGTCTATTTCTGTATTCCAGCTGCTTACAATGTACCTGGATCTCAAGTTCATCAGGTCTAGAACTAAACTTACCTTTTTCTCAGTCTGCTCCTTTTTCCCCAGCATTACTATCCTGGTTAAAGAGATGACTCTCATCTATTAACTTAAGTCAGAAATCAAGGAGTCATTTTAGATACTTACTTCCACTCCTTACCATCTGGTCAGTTCCTAATGAAATGATGGTCATTTTCCTGATTTTTCTAGTTTTCTCTAAACTTACTGCATATAATTGCATCCCTTGTGTACTGCTTAGAGTGAATAGTCACCTCATAGAACTCTTCAGTGGTGGCCTGGCATGGTGGCTTATGCCTGTAACCCCTAAATTTTGGGAGGCTGAGGCAGGTGGATCACTTGAGCTCAGGAGTTCAAGGCCATCCCGGGCAACCTGGCAAAACCTCGTCTCTACAAAGAATACAAAGATTAGCCGGTCCCAGTCTCTTGTGGGGCTGAGGCAGGAAGAGTGCTTGAGCCTGGGAGGTTGAGGCTGCAGTGAGCCATATTCTCACTCCTGCACTCCAGCCTGGGCAACAAAGTGAGACCCTGTCTCAAAAAAAGTGGGAACTCTTCAGTGGCAAAATTCACATTCTTTTGAATGGCTCTCAAGACTTCTGGGATCCTGGCTCCTACCTACTTCTTGTATTTTGCTACTACCCCATGAAATGCATAACTTGTGCTCTAGCCAGCCTGAGTTAATTAGAGTTCCTCATCCACACCGTGCCACATCTGTGCCTTTCCACTTTGTGTTCTGCTGCCTACCTGGTTTTCAAAGCCTCCTTACTCCTCCTTATCCTTTAAGACCCATCTCAGCCATTTCCTGAAGCCTTTTTCTCACTGGTTCAAGCAGAGCAGATCATCTTTTCCATTTTGTCGCCACCTTACCTAGCTCATATTTGTTCTTGAGCTTAATAGTTATTATTATCGCTGCTAGACTGTGAGCTCCATAAAGGCAAGGTCTGTATCTTATTTAGTTTTATATACAAAGTGCTTTCAAATATTAGGCTCTCAAATAATATCCTGTCTCTCCAGGGCCACTGGTAATCAGGAATTAAAGCTTATTGTATTGGTTTGGTAATTTTGTTCATCTTACTATCATTCAGTTAATTAGGTTTAAAGCCAACTATGACTTAGTCCTTTTTTTTTACTTAGTCCTTTTCTTGTACAAATGAAATATTTGCTTAGTAATCCTTTTTGATTCATATGCTGTTTTGTAATAACTATAGTGCTGCTTCTACTTAAGTAATTTTTGACATCTCTAATCAATCCCTGTTGACTTAAATACATTAGAAGTCCTCAAAATCCAAACATTAAATAATTTTTATTTAAAGAAGATAAACTGGATATAAGCAAGAAATACTTCTCAACAGGCTAATCTTTGATATCCACCCCTGGGGTGGACTGAATTATAGGGACTTGGTTTATCTGACATAAACCAGAACAAGTAAAACATTCATTTAGAAGTAAAGTGTTTTTTTTTTTTTTTTTAAGAGTATGTATGAAAAATGCATTATTAAAACTAAGAGACAGGCCGGGCGCGGTGGCTCATGCCTGTAATCCCAGCACTTTGGGAGGCTGAGGCGGGCAGATCACCTAAGGTCAGGAGTTAAGGACCAGCCTGATCAACATGGCGAAACCCTGTCTCTACTAAAAATACAAAAAATAGCCGGGCGTGTTGGTGCACACCTGAAATCCCAGCTACTAGGGAGGCTGAGACAGGAGAATCACTTGAATCTGGGAGACGGAGGTTGCAGTGAGCCGAGACTGTGCCATTGCGCTCCAGCCTGGGCAACAAGAGTGAAACTCCATCTCAAGAAAACAAAAACAAACAAAAAAACGAAGAGACAAAACTGAAATAGGAATAATCAAAATGATTTTTTTTAATTACACTTTGAAGTTCTGCTTTAAAATTAACTTTGAGTATATGTAAATGATAGATACTCAGAAAATTCATTTCAATAGAATATTAAAGTAGTATATTACTGTTGAATTATTTTAAAGCTCTGATATTAAAATGTCCATCATTTATAACCATTTTTTTAATACCTCTTTTATTTCAGGGATGGAGAAAGACACCATAGTCATAAAAGAAGAAAGCAAAAAATATAAATGAAGTACTTGTACATGTATTAATTATGCTTATGCCATGGTAACCAATATGCTGATATATTAATTGGAATTGCTTTGCATAGGAGAATGTTTTTATGATCTGTTTAGTGCTTATTATTTTCCAATAAATATGCTTCAAACCATGAGTACACTATTAGGCCCTACAACTTTGTTTTCCTTATATTTTATTAGATGATTTGCTTCCTATAACTGATCTTGTTTTGTTCTTTTTGCTAATATTTGTATCTCAAAATTCTTTAATTAAAAAAGTCAATATTTATCATATGTAAATTAAATGTGAATACATTCTCATTGCAAAAAAACTACATCTTATAAATAAGGCTAACCCTTAGAACACTATCTGCAGTCCTGTCCTCACCCCAGCAGCGACTGCTGTTTACCACTACGCTGGTGAATTGTAGTAGGGACAAACAATGTAAATATTGAAGAGAAATGGCCTGACTAATTAAAATATGATGTAGTCATGGAGGATAGATTATTGTATTGGAGTTAAAGAATCTAGATCCATATTAACCTGGATTGGTCTCAAAAACATAATGCTCAGTGAAAATAGCAAGTTGTGGAAAGTTATATACAAATTATATATATGTACAAAACAATACTATGCATTTTCTATGGCTATATAATGTATGTAAGTCTATTTTTAAAGGTTCATAAGAATCCATACCAGAGTTCTAACAGCGAGTAGGGGGTATAGATGAGAGATTAGAGGTGCAAATCAGGATTGGGAGGGTGGTCAAAGGGAACTTTAGCTTTATTTTTTTTTTTTTAAAAAAAAAGGTATTCATGTTTCATTTAATTTAAAATATACTGTCATGTTGTGTTTTATAAATCTGTGTTCAATTGAGGTACTATTTACATACATTTAATTGCACCCTTTTTAAGTGTGTATTTTATTGGGTTTTGACAGATTCATAGCTCTGTGCAACCACCATCACAATCAAGATACAAATATTTTCATTACCCCCAAAATTCTCATACCCCTTTTCCCAATCCATTCCTCTACCCCTAGCCCTAGGCAGCCACAGATCTGCTTTTGGTTACCATTGATTAGATTTGTCCTTTGTAGAATTCGTGTAAATGGAATACTGCAGTATGTACTCTGCCTTCTTCCACACTACAGATTTTTGAGATTGATCCCTGTGCGTCAGTTGTCCTATTTTTTTTTTTTTGTTACTGAGTAGTATGTTCTATTGTATGTCAGATCATTCAGGTGAGACTTTGGCGTGAAATGTTAAGCATCTGACATCTAAATAGCAATATTTTGAATATTGGAAACTCAGGTTAAAGATTTTGTTTCCAAGTAGAAATGAAATCTTATTGTTTCAATAAGTAGCTGACAGTGACAGAAAGATTGACTGATTTGGATCAGATTGGCTGTTAGGCTTCAGGTATGGGAAACAGCTCTCAGATTTATAAATTGGAAATCACCAGGTTACTTGCCAATATATAGTCATATTGCTGCCATTCTACTTAATTTCTAAATATATAAAATCCACTTTTAAAAATTGTAAAAGCAAGGACTCGGGAGTGACTGATGAATCATGAAATTGCTGCTTTTATAGATCAAAACTACTTGAATCATCAGGAATTGTTTCATATTGTGTGAAAATTTATAATTTTGTTTTAAATTATGATTTCATTTTACTAACTGGAAGAAACAGAAGAGTAAAATTGGCATATTTAGGTTTTTTGTAGAAGAAAGACGTGAAAATTAGGAGTGGATTGGAGAAATTGGGGGAAAATAGAACAGTACGGAGAAAGGAAGAGATTGAAAACGTAACCGAAGTTCTTTAAAGCTCACATTTTATGGTATCACTGCTGCAAACTAATAAAATGTGGCATTGAATGAAAAGAGGCATTTGTTTGATCCTTGAACGAATTAATCTTACATACTTCCCTGTTTGTGTTTTGAACCTTTCGCTAGATATGAGCCACTTGAGGGCAGGGTTTGTACCTTCATCAGTGTGACCCCTGTGCCTGCAACCTCATAGTTGTTAATATGTAATTTCAAATTTTGACAAAAGCATTTTCACTGCCCTGTCACATAAAATCTAGTTTTTATTTCCAGAGTGCTGCTATGAATAATTACTATAGCTGCTGGCCATCTTGCCCATCCATTAAGGTACCTTCTCACAAACATTTCTAATCTACTGGCTGGAGTACATTGGTGCAGTCCATAGTTCACTGCAGCCTCAAACTTATAGGCTCAGGTGATCCTCTTGCCCTGGCCCACCGTGTAGCTGGAACTATAGGTGTGCACCACTACACCTGGCTAATTTTTTGGTTTTTTTAGAGATGGAGTCTTGCTATGTTGCCTAGGCTGGTCTTGAACTCCTGGGCTCAGATGATCCTCCTGTCCTCAGCTTCCCAAAATGCTGGGAGCCACCAGGCATCAGGCGCGAGCTACCACACCTGTCTAAAAAGTATATGTTTTAAAATTTTTTTGTAGAGACAGGATCTCACTATGTTCCCCAGCCGGTCTCAAGCTCCTGGCCTCAGTCAGCCTCCTAAAGTGCTGGGATTACAAGTGTGAGCCACTGTGCCTGGTCACTTTAATTGCAATACTGACAAGTCAACTGCCATGCAGAGCCCAGGGCACTGGTTATATTCAATAAGAAACTGAACTCAGCACTTAGAATTTTAAATTATATCAATGATCTTAAAGTATTTGCCACTTTTGAGTACAGCTAACTGGATAATCTCAAATCAAACCCTTCAGTGAAAATTCATTGTCAAGTGGTAAATTTGAGATAAAATATTTTAAATGCATTGAGAAATATTTTCTAATTACCTGTGTATGCTATAGTACAGATATTAATTCTATAAACCTGTTCATAGGTCTTCCTCCCGGTCTTCTGAGGACATTTTCTGTTTCTTTTCAGTGAGCTCATGAATGTCTAAGGGTTCTTGTGCAAAGCTTTGTTGCATTCTAAGTATAAAAAAATAAAACCCACTTATATTGCTTGAGTTTGTTCACAAGACACTTATGTAGCTTGCTTTTTCATTTGCTGTAATTGATCCTGCAGGTGTGTTAATTATAAACTAATGCTCTTTTAAACCACACATTATTATATTAGTGATTGTGCTTCCTGCTGTGGTCACAAATTTGGGAGGTTTTGGTGTTACAGAAAGTGCTCATAGCTTTTGTATATTTGGACTGGGACCAGTAATTTCTAGAGCTCCCTTCAGGAAAGAAAAAATAAGATTTGCTAGATGTAAGGAACGCTGAGCTAGATTCATCTTTATTGAATAAGCCAAGTCACTTCCCCATTCTAAAAACAAGTAAGTCCACCTAAGAAAAAACAGGCTGCCTTAAAATAGAATATAAATTCCTAAACTAGTTTTTAGTCCTTTATTTGAGTATTATAAAGCAGGGGGCACTTCCAGTTTACAATGTTGCTCCATACTCCATTGGGAGAATGGTAAATGAAGAAAGGCTGCAGGCTCCAGGGAGTCCTGCCTTAGGAGTTTCACATCTTGTGGCACCAATGAAGGGATCTGGGTTTGAGTGACTTGAGTACTCTTTATGAGGCTAATTTCCCGTGAGAGTGGAGCTTTAGTAACCCGTGTACCTCCAGCTGCAAGCCGTGACTCCTAGTCTAGAATGAGGAAGGTCATTAAGGGAGCGTCAGGAATACAGAGATGAAGCAGGAGCCTGGGCTTTGTTTGGTAATGCCAACACAATTAAAATAATGTAATAAATTCTTCTCATACTGACAGAATATCTGATCAAAGAGGGCAGTATGATGAGTCAGGTACAATACAGGCTGTGTAACCCTGGGCCGACTTTTAGTCTCTCCATGCCTTCTCCATACTGTACACCCTCAGAGGATTGTCAGGCTTAATGTGATCTGGCCCATGCGGTGTCTGACATATGGCAGGTACTGAATGCCCACTGTTGCTGTGCTTTGTAACACAGCTGTGAGCTCTTTCTACTCTGGCTCCTGTGTCTGGTTTTGCTTATGGACCAACCTGGATATCTTACTGTGCCCTCAAGAGAATTCTCTCACACAATAGTATTAGCAAATCAGTGAAGACTTCAAAAAGAAGTCTGTATAGGAGATGCTTCATGTTACCTACCTCTAGGGCATATATATATATAGCTGGTACACACATGAATCAACCAGTATTAAAATACTGAAATACTTCTAAACTTGCTGGTAAATAACTTGTTCAAAGCCCCACCTTCCCTTTCGTGCTTTGTCCTGGAAATTCTTGACCGTCTCCTAGACACCACCATGATCCAACAACAAAAAAATAAAATAAAAAAAAGAAAAGCCAGTGCCTGGAGCAGCTGGGGGCCTTGGAGCACCCTGTTCCAGGAATAAGGCTAATTGGTGGCTGTTCTGATTGATGACAGTGCAGTCAGCATCTCTCCTAAATAATGATGCATATGAATGACATGGGACATACTCTTTCTCACTTTGCCCTATATACGGTGGGCCGTGTGTGCAAGGTGCTGTATTGTGTGGATACTAAGCATGGACATAGTTACACACACTTGAATCAGCCAAGGCTGTCTGTCGACAATGTAGCACAGATTTTGGAAGGGGGAAGTGGAATCATGTTGTAAGGTTCTCATGCTGTACATGAAATGGTGTGTAACATTATTTGTAGATAGATTACGATAAGTTGAGTGTATATTGTAAATTGAGTGTATATTGAAATAAAGCAGAGAGGTATGGCTAATAAGTTACAATGGAGAGGAAATGAGATTATTAGAAACAATCCAAAAGAAAACAGGAAAGAAGGAAAAGGGGAACAAAAGAACAGATAAGACAAATAGAAAACAAATGGCAAGATAGATTTAAACCCACCCATCTTAACAACATTGAATGTTAAATACAGATATTCTAAACACTCCAATGTAAAGGCAGACCCAGTTATATGATGTCTACAAGGAACCCACTTTAAGTATAAGGACACAATTAGGTTAAAAGTAAAAGGATAGGAAAAGGTATACTACGCTAATACTAATTGAAAGAAAGCTATATTACTATCAGACAAAGTAGACTTCAGAACAATGAATATTATCAGGGATAAAGAGGAACATTTTGAAATGACAAATAATTCATCAAGAAGACAAAATTCTAAATTTTTATGCACCTAAGAAGAGAGATTCAAAATATATGAAACAAATATTGGTAAGACTGAAGGGAAAAATAAGCAAATGTACAGTTATAGGTGAAGATTTCAACACTCTTCCCTCAGTCATTCATAGTATAAGTAGACAGGGAAACCAGTAAATAAATAGAGGCCTT